TCAAAGCAAGCCTCACAGGGTGTAGCATCATGATCTGTGAAGTGGTGGTGTTAATAGAACCCCAAAGGGGGTTTCGGTACGAACCTCCACCGAGGAGAGGGTCTCGGCGCGCTTCCAGCTTCCTACCAAAAATTTGCCGTCGAGCGGGGTGAACCGGGAAGACTCCAACAACCGGGAAAATTTTTTCCCAACGTGGCAGGTTTCTGTCGAAGGCACATATACCCCCTCCCCCGTCTCCCAACAACGACCAGAAGCGACTCCCCCGAAGTACGCCCCCCCCATGTTGTGTTTGTTTGTCGATGCTGTACCCTGAAGCCTCAACCTTCTTGGAGAGCGGATCAGGGGTACATCGGTGGAAGCCTCAGCGGGATGAGCAAAAGACTGCGAAGTTGAGAAAAAATTCAAAAATCTCGGTTTTAATTACTTCCACACTAGTCAATAAACTGCTGCGAAGTGCAGTTAGGCTGCGCTCATACATTCGTCGTTCTGAGTGTTTTGAGAGAGATACGCATGCGTTTTGGGCCAAAAGTTTCTTACAAAACGCTTATATCGATGACCTATACTTTCTTTATCGCCCAAACAGACGAAAAGTATGAACGCAGTCTCAGTAGTCCTGCAACCACACGCCGTTAGGCAGCGTTCAGAGTTCGCGACGGCAGGGCTTGGATCGCGCGTTCGACGATGCACTAGAAAGCATGCGTATCGATTGTGCCGAACGCGCGAACAAAGCGCTGCGTCGCGAAGTCTGAACGCTGCTTTAGTGGGTTGAATTACAGTACTGATTCACCCATTGAGATCGGTTTATTATCACCAGACTTGTTTTCGATTGCGTTACCACAGGACTGATGATTTATAAGCAAAAGACTTGACCCCTGGCAGAAATTGAACCTACGCTTCTACTGCGTTCATACTTCGCGATGACGCGCGTCGATGCTCTGTAACAACTCGACTTTTTAGAAAACTGCTTGTCAAAGAAGTACATGGGAAATTGGTCGCTAGAGAATGGGGAGAATAGATGGATCAGAAGAACGGCGACCGGTGTCGATCAGTTCCCATCTTTTTTTAGACGCGCATTTCCCATGACGTCAAACCGCCGATTCCCTTGCTTTAATGTTCTCCTGGTTCTCAAGGAATAAACGCGACCTAGGAGGAGCTGATTTGGAATTTAGACGCCTGGTCCTTATTAATCTTTGGGCTATCCTTTTATAAGGGCACACCTAAGGATTTCACTTATGAAATGGGGGAGGTTGCTACGTATCCTATCAAGCGAGACTTTTCAACTAAAACCACCCAGTTCGCTCAATGGCAGCTCGTATGAATCCAATCAATTTCTCTTTGATATGATGTTGCAGTCAGCTGGGAATTTTTATTTTTGATTCTGTTCAATTTGAATAGCAGGTGACCGAAATACATGGGATACAAATGATACAGACATATGCATGGGTATAGCAAGCGAGTGTGAGAATTTGAAGGGTTTTTTCTAATCATTTCGAAGTAACTTAGCAGCGCGTGCGATCTTAGCTTTGAAATCAGCCAGCGACCAATTTTAATAACTATTCAGTAATTCTCTTTCAATTGATTGATTATAATCCTATAATATTTCATTTCAACGCGCTTTATCTGGCACATAAAATTACATTAGAACTTCATCCTGGCAGTGATTTTTTTTCTGAAGGTCAGGCTTCCGAAGAGACGCGAGGTCCTCGTCGTTGCTGCAGATTACGCCCTTCATTTAGTTAAACAGCGGGCTAAAAAGGTGATACTCAATTGACGCAAAGTCCGCAGAGTGCACTGGGTGTTGCATGGGCTTATTAGTTTCGACGTTCGCGGTGTGATGCCGCGCCCTTTCGTGGACGGTAGTGTTCTTGTACAGCATATGACTGTCGCGATAAACCCTCCCAGTTCCACCAGAGCGGTGCAGGTCTGCTAGATCCGAACCAGGTGCAAATTGCCATTCTCGAGTATAGCTAACTTAGGTCGAAGCAGTTCGGTAGTCAAAACATCCCCTTCGCACAAAGTGCAAATGTCCTGAACAAATTCTGTCATTGACTGCTTTTTGAACAAAGATGATGAAATACTGTTCCTTGCCAACTAGTATTCTCTTCTTCAAAGCCCGAATTCGAACGAAATTCAGTTAAAGAAGTAAGGAATCGGTGCCCCTGCTCAACTGAGTCGTAGGTGTCCTTTGTTCACGATGTCTGGTCCGCATTACGCATCTGAAACTGTCCCACTCTGGCAGCTCCACAGCCGATAACGGCCATCATAGGTGGGAGTTCCGACGTCTTCATAGCTGTCCCGCCCACCAAAATCCAAAGGTTTATTTTCCACCACGAATTGAGTTTTTACACCCTGTATTTCAATTTTTTTTCATTGTTTTGTGCTACGATATTGGACGACGCGTAGGGACGAGTTGTTGACCAGAGGTGGCAGAATATCGCCTCAGGCATAACGGCAGGTCCAGAAACTTGTACAGAGATCCTGCCAGGGGTACTTGGAGTGTTCTCCATGATTTTTGTTTTGTTTTTTTTTCTCTGGACAGTCACTTAGCGATCATAAGACTGCGGTCAGACTCCGCTATCGCGCGATTGGGACGCCGACCACAACAGAAGGCGCTCCACCGCCAAGTTGTGCACAGCCAGCGGCAGAATTCAAATTGGGTCGCGTTCACACAGTGCCACTTTGGATTGTGCTGTTGCGGCGGTGAAGCGGTGGCCCCCTGGTTGTGGTCGCGCGATCCGATCGCTCGAAAGATCCTATCACGAAGTCTGAACGCTGTTTTACTGATGTTACACGACAATCAACCGCTGCAGAACAAACCATGAAAAAACGGCAGGGACTCATTCCGAACCTAATAAACTTGTGTGAGTGGTAGGAAAAAGTATGTTCTCAGAAGAAAACCCGTTTGCAGTATAGAGGATGGGAAGTCGATAAACGTCATCCGACTTGACGCTACAAATGCACTGGATATGACCTCCTCCCCCTCTGAGCAATTTATTTTTCGGGGCCATCTCTATGCGTTCTGATTCTTTACCACCCCTTCGAGACTAATACGATTTCCTCCGAATTCGTAACCGACATCCAGCATTAGCGCCGAATATTTTGAACTGCGCTGCAGCTTCACGAAAGAAGCAAGCCTTATTTTTTTTTCTTGTCTTCTTTTCCTTTACCTCGTTTCTTCCTGGTTAGTACCATAATTGCAGCACTAATTACGAGGAGTATCGTGGCAATCTTAGCGAGCTTAATAAGTCAGCGTTCAGACTTGGTGATGATGCCCGCTTGTGTTTTGAGACAAATAAAATGAGGGGAGGCTCTTTCATACATAGTTCCGTCCTATACTTCTACACTATCCCGGCACTGTTTGGCGACGGGAGGAGGGGGGGGGCATTTTGCACTTCTAACGACTTCCCATCGACGTGTCGACCCATCTAGACAGCCTCTTCTCGAGTTGACAGGTTTTACCATGATGGCTTGACGAGCTTGCTCCAGCTTCACAAGAGTTCACAGGTTTCACCAGAGTGAGACTTGTAAACCAGAACTAGTGAAGCAACGAAAGTGCAAAATGCCCCTCCCCCATCCCCCCCCCATCGTCGGTAAACCTACGCCCACTATTCCAAAGTCCTAGAGGCCGGTGCAGATCGATAACATAGAAAACGCAAACTTTTTATTCCCCCATACTCTCAATGCACAAGAAGCCGGCGCCGATCGATTGCCTTCTGCGGCTGCTTTCACTTCTATAGCACTAGAGCGCTATTGCAAGTATAGCGCGTCGATGGGCGTTATCACGGAGTCTGAACGGTGCTTTATACAAGGATTTGGGTTCATTGGAGGTACCTTGAGCGGTGAGCGTCCGCCGCTTATTCTGGTGCCACCTTGTTTAGTTTAAGAGCCCCAGATTGCTAGGCAATCTACTTTCATTTTCCCTCAACCACAGTTTCACAGTGACGGGGCTCACACTACTCAGGAAGCATAAAGACTTCCAACGTTTTGCGGTCTCCAATTTTTACACTTGCCTCTCTAAACTAACTTCCACTTCCCCTTTCTGAGCTGTTTTAATATTACCCCTTCCTTGATTACTACACAGCGTTGATGTGAACTTTCCCCTTGTTCACTGCACGCATGAGCGTTGAATCCATTTTAAGCCATCCCAAATCCAAGGGAATTTAAGGAAATGGTTTTCTGTGACGCGAAGATTGGGTAGAAGTTGTATAGCTGAGTGCTGCCGGCCTAAACTCGCATTTTGTAAATAAATTGAGAGATAATTGTTGCATTGAATAGCAGTTACAATGACATTAAACACGTATAAGAGGCGCCAAAATTTATTGCGAAAGACTCAAAAGATTCAAAAGAATCCAAAAGTTTTCAAAAATTTTTATTGTTTATTCTCCTTCTTCGAATATTTCGGTGCTTAGCACCTTCTTCAGCGATCTAAAATGCCACGGTTAGCCACAATTTTTGTGAAAACTTTTGGATTCTTTTGAATCTTTTGAGTCTTTCGCAATAAATTTTGGCGCCTCTTTTATGTGTTCAACATTCAGATTGCAATGAGGCTCCGGGACGGACAGCACACTTTTAAGTTACAATAACGTTTACATCAAGTTTTGTCTCATTGATCAGCTATTTCTATGCGATGACCGATGATCCAAGAAGGCGCTCTTCGGCCTGGGGCGCACTGTGCACTTTTGGTTCAATTCGCTAACTCTTGTTAATAAACAGCTGGATTTGTAAACGCCTGCGAAGCTACAAAACGGGTGTGAGCCACTTTGGGGAGAGGAACTTAGCTTTTTAAGTACAATCTGTGCTCCAGCAGAACAGCGCTTCCAAGAACCGAGAAAGGTGTAGAAAATCAGCTAATGCTACCCCTGAAAGCTATTATTTTATCTATTTACTTGTTTAGTATTTTGTGCCGTATGTTATCTTTCTTCTTATTGTTCTAGTTCCTGTGAAACAAGAACTGTGTTAGAATATTGCCTCGGTGGAAGTAAGGGAGATTGACCCGGTTTTTGTTCTTAGGCAAACAAGCTGAACCCGTCTTGTCACATCACTCACTGTTTCAACGTAAGTGCACCCCTTTCTGCCAGCATGTGGTCCATTTCAGAGAATATGGGATGTCATCTTGTATAGGCGCATCGCTTCGAACCGAAACTGCCGAAGAAGATCAGCCACTTGCAGTGATTACCCTTCCTCCGCGTCCTGTGCTTCGAACGTGGCGGTTGACATCGTCTGGATTAGTGGAAATCACCGACGAGAATAGAGCTCAAATGGGAGCGTTCCTGGACAAACCGAAAACGGCCAAAACGAATTCCTCCGGCGAGGGCAATGTGAGTTAACGTTTTAAAAAACTTACAGGTGCTATTCTACTAATACTACCCCGAAAAGACGAAATATTTTGCTGAAACTTAATCTGTAGTGGTTATTCGGTGCCCTTATCACGAACATGACATTCATTTTTGGCCTTTATTGGAAGCCTACTTCGCGCCACACTCTTTTCCACCAAAATCGATGAAAACGTGCAGAATGGGATTGGTTGATGCCCAGATCACGAATATGACATTCATTTTTCGATTTGATGCCCCGTTAAGGCTAGTTCTGGGAGAAGTGGATCCCTTTTAGGATAGACGCAGTCTTAACGGAGCGCAGATGGTCGTGCTGCCTTCATTAGTGCTGGTGCCGGGAAGTAATGTCATATGTATGATCAGAATGTCAAATAAATCCAGTTTACAAGTTTTCATCCTTTTTGGTATTCGCGGTATTTTGGCTGACGGTTTCGGGTTAAGCGGATGTGATATTCATGTGCAAGAAGTCAAATTACTCTCATGCACAAATTTTTAGTGACATATCCCCTCCCTTTTTCTCCCTATTCCTGGCCATTTCAAAAAATTCTGGACGAAATTGGATACGGGCAATCTTTCGCTGGGCCTTTTTTTTCTTACCTCGGTTGCCCAGGTTGCCTCAAGTTTTGAGAGGGGAAAGATTCACCGCTTCCCAGTTTACCTCGTCATCCCGTTGGAGGATGTTTGGGCTGCTTTCATACCTCGCTATTCTAGCCACTGGGATGCGCCATTTTGTAATCGCGTGACTGCGATCGGAAGCTTTCTTCCACTAATCGTTGGGGCGCAACAACCTCTCATTCAATCATAGTGAGGATGGACTTATTTAGCATTTTGTGACATTCCAACGGTTAGCGGTGGAGCGCGGTCAAGTCCTGCGAATAACCCGATCAGGTCACGATGTCTGAACGCGGCCTCAGCATTTTAAGCGTACGCCAGCATTTTCAGTGTCTAGGAATGGTTGACTTAGAGAGATCGATACCTATACTTTCCTTGTCGCTGAAAACGCTGTTTTATGCTCAAAACGCCATGAAGTATGAAAATACTTTTGTTGGAATTATGAAGTTCAAGTTGAATGTGTGGTACAATTCCAAGCAGTTAAAAAGTGCTTGCAACTGCTTATTATCAAAGCTGATATCTTTGCAGGGTCTCCGCTATGCTATGGCCAGCATGCAAGGATGGAGAGTCGATATGGAAGATGCACACGTAGTAGAAGTATGTTTAGACTTCTCCGCACCCGCTTTGATTGCGCCCTGCCTGTTTTTTTATGATTTTATCGGTCAAAATTGAATTTATGATTATCTAGGTATCAATGGCAGATCGCGAACCCTATAAAGACTGGTCATTTTTCGCAGTATTTGATGGGCATGCAGGAAATGTTGCAGCAGATGATGCTGCTGAAAACATTATGAAAACCCTCATGGAAACTCCACAGTTCGAAAAAGTAGGACTTGAGTTAGCTACCAGTTCTTTGGTTTGAAGGCTTTGCTGATTATTCGGTACTAAATGGAGCATTTGAAGGTCACAGAAGAGCTGAAATCCAATGGGGGTGTTTTATGCGAAAAGTCAATCACATTACTGGAGGACGGAATTAAGGCCGGATTCCTTAAACTGGACGAGAATATTCGAACCAGGCTGGATTCGGTATGTTATCTTGATTTCTTCTTGAAATGTTCGCATTAAAGATTTAAAACATCTTGTTATGCTTTAGGATCGCAGTGGCTCGACAGCTGTATGTGCCATGATCACACCCACGCATATCATCATTGCAAATCTTGGCACGTTTTTCTTAATCTTATTTTCCACCCTCTGCTGTCCTCCTCTACTGTCAAGCAATGAGCTAGCTGTGTTTAGGCGACTCTCGGGCAGTTGTTTCCCGCAAGGACGAAGGATCCTTCGGAACTGAAGACCATAAGGTTGTTGAATGACTTGGGTTACAGTGATAATTATCTTTTGAAATCTGTTTACTAAACTGCACCTTTTCTTTTGATTCTTTTTAGTAAATATCAGTTGATGTGTTTTAGCCATACCACGATAAGGAGCGAGAACGAATTGTTGGTGCTGGTGGATCAGTCATGATTCAGAGAATCAATGGAAGCTTGGCAGTTAGCAGGTGAGATTAAATTAGTTCAGCCCTTTTTCGCGCCTTCACAGCAAGTAAATGAAGTGCTGCGGCCTTCATAAGTTGTAGTTTTGACGCCTCCCAAATTGTCCCCCACCGAAACTCAAAGGCTGTTTTTTGTCACGAGTTTTGCTTCACATCGCGCCCTTCTTTTTTTCCACGGCTAGGTGGTGTTCGCATTGGATAATGCGAAGAAACCATTTGTGAGTCGCGACGGCAGGATATCGCTTTGCTGGCATAAAACGAGCAGGTCGGGAGAACTCGTCCGGACAGGGTGCCCAGGTCCTTTCTTAGGGTGCCCTCGGATTTTTTTTAGCGTGAGAGGGTTTAAGGAAGCAGACATGGCTTGACCCATCACATTGCTGGGGAGTGACTTGAGACCCTTCCTGGTGCTCATAGCACCTATAAATCTGTATTTCGATCTCATCGCCCACGAATTACAATTGTGGAGTGTCTCTTCGAATAAGATTCGTCATCATCGCAAACAGTCTGTGTGGGAAGTAACACTGACATGATCAGATTTCATAATACTTGGGAGGTTCGTAAATCTATGCGCCATCGTTATCGATGCTTAGTCATCCTACGCACCTCTTTTTATGAGAGCAATGTTGAGGGTTTGTTTGCTGGACGTCATAAGCTGCTTGACAGTGATTTTAATGGCGGTTTCCGCTTTTATAGGGACCTTGCAAAATAGCGAGCGATCTTGATTTTGCAGTGCTGTTATTGTTGCCCCGGCGTCTGAGCTAATAGAATTTTCACTTTCAGGGCACTAGGAGATTTCGAATACAAGAATGTTCCTGGCTTAGAACCAAACAAACAGCTTGTGTCACCTGAACCAGATGTTTACGTCCTTGAAAGGCAAAAGGTATTTCTGGATACTTAGAGGCTATATTGGTTACTTTTGTTTTGTTGATTGCTGTGAGTGTTTAAGTCGATTATGCAGGTTTTTAACCGAACAGGAACGGGTCGGCTCACAAGGGGAGGATGATATTTCGAGAAAGTCGCTTGAGATGGGGTGCTCAACCGACTGATGTGTCTTTGTATGATAGTTATGAGTTTTTATTTCTCATCTTTTCGATCATCTCCAAACGAAATTAGAGGTATTCAGGCTGCGTTCATACTATGCGACAGCGTCCATCAGCGACCAGAACTAGAGGGTATGGGGAAGTATGAGGATAGCAGACTGCTCGGAGAGTAGGGGAAGTAGGAGGGAGCAGACAGCTAGATTAGGCGTCCACAAATTGCGGCGTGCAACCGCACCGTACTGCCACACAACACCGTACACTAAATGGCCTTTAATTGCGGTTATGAACGCTTAAATTTCAGGACGCCTGACCAAGCTGTCTGCTCCCTCCTACTTTCCCATACTGCCGACTGCGGAGCGTTTGTCGACGCTGGTGGTGCCTCCCGCAAAGTATGAGCGCGGCCTAAGTGAGAGTATAGTCGCGCTCGAAACGAAATTCGGGCGTAAAGAAATAAACTTCGAGCTCAAATGTGAGACCAGTTGCATCGAATTATAATTGAATTGAATTCCGTTGTCGAAGAGGAGGCGCATTCGTAATTACCAGCCGAATACACGTCAGTATGTGTGGTATGCCTTATTCCGACCACTTCGACCTACCATCCTTCTCTGTCTAACCTCGTCCTTCATCTATCCTTGACTTTATTACCTTTCTTGAATTTTACTCTCGTTCGCTCGCTCTAGTCACCTTGAGGGAATATAGATAGCAGTAATAGCAGTAGTTTTCTTGCTGATTTTCTAACAAAATCTATTTCTGAAGTCTGCTACCACTGGAATGATCAGGTTAGGGTGTCCATTTTGAAACGGTTGTCATCCATACATCTCTCATGCAACACGAATTTGGAATCCTCTGAATTCACTAGAATCTTAATTGCAGGACAAAGATGAGTTTTTGGTGGTAGCTTGTGACGGAATTTATGACGTAATGGAAAATGAAGAGCTTTGTCGGTTTGTTGAAAGTCGTCTCCATGTCTGTGATGATCTAAATCAGGTTTGCAACGATGTGAGTGCTATTGATTTTCTGGAATCTTTTTTTTCTGAAGGGGAGTTACTCCATTGAGAATTTTTCGGAACTAACAGTGGCCAGTTTTTCGTAGTCGGTGAAGAGCTAGAAGCAGCATAAAAGTCTTAACTGCTATCACAGGCCTTCTTTAATCAAGTACTTCCATGAGGTAGTTGGTTTTCAGGTGCTCGACGCTTGCTTGAGTAAAGGATCTCGGGATAACATGACAATGATTGTGGTCTGCTTTGAAGCCGCTCCGTCAATTGATAAAGAAAAAGTGGCTTCCGAACAGATTTGGAAAGCACAGATGCTGGCATCAATCAATGGTATGCTTCTGATAAATATGAAATGAATGATTATTTAGAGCGGTATGAGGAAATTTACTTGCAGATGTGATAGCGGAGGAGACTTCGAAGTCAGGATGGAGTGAAAGTGACGAAATGAGTATTGAATTCATATTGCGCGAGTTAGCGCAACGAAATTTGTCTTCTGGAGGTGGTCCTGCACATATGCTTCGTTCGCTTGCCGATCAGGTAGGATTTTGTTCCTCATGAGTTTTTAGCGAATGGCACCTTCAGATCCGTTCCATATTCGCTAAGAACAACTTTTAGGGTCCCTTCAGTGAGCTCGATTTCGGAACTGTTTATTTCTTTAGTGCAACATCTTGCTTTTTCCTAAATTCCCGCCGCATTCAAAGATAGACCTCGCGCTCAACCATCCCTCATTCCAGCATTCCTAGTCGTCCTTCATTGTGCAAGTAGTCCAGCCCGCAGAAATGGAGATTTTCCTACTTTCGCAACTCCATAACGAGTGAGGAGGGCCACAACCACCGAAGGGTTTAGTTCTAACACCCGCTCAGCTCTACCGCCCACCCAACGAACGTTCACTTTACACTTAACGCAGCAGCGCTCAGTTGTAGTTTGTTAGAGCGGCGGCATAAATCCGAGTTGTGTGTCCATTTTTCCGCGACCGTGGCGTTCAAGTCACTGACTATCGCTAACGATGCAGTTGTTGGTGCAAACGCTTTACGTGCATTGCTCATTTTAATCCTATTTCGTACGCAGTTTTTGAGTATGTTACGTGTTATACTTGAGGGTTTTGTAGTTTTCCGTTTTTTCTTTGCTTTGGATGACTTTTAATACTGGAAGATGCGAAAAGCGAGTTGTGAGCCAGGGGTTACACAGAGACCGCACGGCGTCGAGTTGTCAGTAAGTCTGGAGAACTCGTACAATGAGGCTGTGTGACTGTCCGGGAGTGATTTTGTTCTGTAGTCTTGGGGATTCTCTCTGCCTTTCCCTTCTTTGGATTCAGGTGCTGGTTCGTAATTGAACGTCCGCTGTCCATAATACTTGATTGCGGGAATTTTCTTCATGGTAGTAATTAGCAGGTTTCATTTTTGCCGTTTCGTTTGCCTTTTTCCTCTGGATATAAAATTTGGATTACGCGCTCCCTAATCACCTACATTTAGGTTTTGACAGAGAAGGGAATCAAACACGACTAGCACGACAAGTTCACCATTCCATCCCATGATCGTTCAGGGGTGCTGCGATTGTTAATATTTCGTCAGTACTCGTTTTGCTTGTCATTTTGAAGAGTTTCTGAGAATTTGCTCCGTTGCACTATGATGCTGAGTACAGAGTACAATGTTTTATGTCAGCTTTTTTTCTATTATTTCTTGTATCGGACGCGCGGGTGCTGTTTCATTTTGCAACATTTGTTTTGTGTCAATGTATTACCGCCCCTTATATTGTAGTCCATGTACTTGTTCTCATACGTTGAAAGAAACCTTGTGCGACCCAGCCCCTGTGTTGTTATTTGTGCAGTTTTTACTGCAATTTTTGTCATATGTTTCCTCTATCTATTTCGATTGTAGCACCGCTTTTTGGGGTGATTGCGTTCCACTCGTAAATTTCATGCGTTCTCGTTTGATAATGTGTCCAAAGCGGCTGATTTCATGTAACATTTTCAATTTTCTTTTCAATCGACTCCTTTCAACTTAACGTGACACACTTGTATGCCCTTCTACGCAGCGCTCCTTTCGTTCATCAGCATTAGCGTGTTCGTATACATCCCGTCCCACACCTTTTGCTGCTCCCCACCCCCTGGAAGTAAAATAATGGTCGGTGCTTGTTGAATCCGCACCGCCGGATGTTCTACACATTTCTGACTTGCAGCCGGTTTCCGTAAGAGCACTTTGGTCCGTATGTTAGGTTCTAGAATTGATTGTGTTTCGTGGAACATTCTTTATTTGTGAATGGTGTTCTTGTTTCTTAGAATTTGCATAAACTTTATTATTTGCATCGATGAAGCTTGCCAAAGTGTTCTGCAAGACGCTAAATGTCTGTGTAGTCTGAGGCCTGTGATATTGTGAAAAGTAATCCTTGGTTCTATTTGCTCAGAGATCATGGGCAAGTTCCACTGTGGCAATACTCCCTAGTCTTCTATTATTTGCGACACATAAGGTCACGAAAGTCAGAATTCTTGTGGACCGCCCTCATGCACGAAGCGATCCTATGAGAGTGGTTGAAATACGAAACGCATTGGTTGGAAACCCGTTGAGAACTACGTCCCGATGGTTAGCGGGGCTCCAGTTTCGTAGCCAATCCTAGGCTGGTGGGCGCACTAGTTTCGCAACTCAAAAATGCGAGAGAATAGCGGCGCCCGCTCGTGAAGAGTCGGCCACCCCGCCCACCTGGCGACCACTACGCCCAACTTCATTTCTAATGGTTGCCTGATGGTGCGGTTGTTCCGCAACCAACTCTCTCCACTTCGAATGGTGAGAGTGAGGTGATAAGGGAAAACAGCTGATACCAACAAGTGAGAACTCGTGCGGCGCGCCTTCTCTTCGCCTTAAAGGCAGTTGGCACGATGGTTTCCTACTTAGCCTAAAATGCTAGTAGGGCGCTGTATAGTGGGGAAATGGCGAAAGAACGGAGTGAAAAATCCTGCGAAGAAAAAGCCTCCGTTCTCAGTGACTTGTAAATCGATTTCGGACGAGTTTCCCGTTACCAATCACCGCTACCGAAGATACGGCTGCATATGTGTACCCATGTATGCATGCAGCATCACGGCCGCTTCATACCAATCCCTTCGCTTCATAATTTGCTTAGCAAATGAATGAATACGAGCGTCAGGAACGGTCGTCCATTTGTGGGCGGGCGTTTGGGACGTAAAGTTGTGGCTTGATAGGGCCCTTATAAGGGCACCTTCCTCGGGGAAACCGCTATGCAGCGCCTGCCCAGGGTCGCGGAATTCTATCCTGCCAGGAGTATTGATCCTAGTCGTCTTGGGGGATTTATCGTGCCAACTGCCTTTAAGCACGTTCAACCTCAGCTCGGCGTGGGGTCCGATATAGGGCAAATCCGAGAATTTTTTTGCATTTTTTTTCACTAATGGACTACTTGCTACCTTGTTGTCACTGCCTGAGCCCCATAACTCATCAAATTGAACGCGGGCGCTGCCTTGAAATAGGTAGTGGAGAAGGACTTTCGGCGACATTGTAGTGCTGCCTGCAAATACTGGGCATGCACTGCTTTCGCAGCTGTAAAATCCGTTGGGAAAGAGTCGTTCGCTTGCGGCGAACCACGACTTCGCCCGCTGGGTAGGGCGACGCCCAACTTTCATTTTTAGCTTCTACCTGACGGCGCGGTGGTTCCGCTACTTTCTCCCCATTTGGAAATGTGAGCGTGAGGTATAAGGAGAAAGAGCTGGCATCAACAAGTGAGTGTCGTCCAACCGCGCCCTTTTTTCGTTTTGCGGTTCAGCATGGGGTTCCGCATAGGGCATTTCCGACTAGTTTTTGGTGTTTTTTCTTCTTCACTTTCGTGTTATCTATCATACTGTTATTAGTACTTGGGCCGCATCATTCACCATTTTTAAACGCGGAGCGCGCCCTCAACTGTTACCCAGCGCCAAACCAACTTTTTAAAATGCGCAAGCGAAGAGAAGGCGGGTTCTTACGAGGTACCACGCTGATGTCATGATGATATCAACCCTTTTCAATTACCAGGATCACACTCCTCGATCGGAATGGAAAGAGTAGCAGAACACCTGCGCCCACAGGTTACTACTGGAAATGAACCGTCGGTGTGGTACAGGGCGGAGCATCACCTTTGTGGCAATAGGATGACGTCGATATCTCGCATATTTGAGTCGCGAAAGCGATACAGCCTCGATACTCGCAGACAGGACTCAACTACTCCAAAAACTGTGTCTGCATCAGATGGACGCGGACCGTGCCTTTGATTGGAAACCTCCATTGCCATGTCAACGCACTGAACAAGAAGCTGAGATGCTAAGCGAAAGAAATAGTCTCGGTAGTACAAAACAGTATCCATTAAGCTATGGTTTGCGACACGGCAGTTCGCTAGCATCGCGCGATCACGGTTGGGGCGCTTCTCCGCCCATCGGTGCACCCTGCAGTGGCATTTCGAAGAAACTTCGGATTTTCATTCATTCGTTTTCTTTTGGCATTTGCTGGCACTGTCTCCACTAAAGGACAATTGTTACCTGCCCAGCCTTCTCATCACCTATACAACAGGGTGACACTCAGAAAAGAGAACGAAAGACTCTTCGTTCGAATGTGAATCAGTGGGTTGCAGTGGTCCACAGAGCCATCAAGCGCCCCAGGTCATGGTAGCGCGCTGAAAGCAATCGATTCGCGAAGTATATACGCGCTCTGAGCCTTCATTACGGAAGGGACATAATGGCGCGGTCGAGTATCGGCCATAGTACCTCCTGCTAGTGATTATTCATTCAACTGCCTATCAACTTGTTAGCGCGTAGCGTGCACCATCGACAGCGAAAACACAACAACACGACTTTGAAAGCAGCAGTTCCAAATAAAGCGTTCCATGTAGTATTCGCAGGCGGGGCGATCGCAGTTCCGCTCGGTCATGATCCCTGCAAACGACAGGGCGCTTGACGCGGCGCGGACTGGAGCGCAGCCGAGAATGCCCTTTCCCCATGAATGATGATATCCTGGGTCCGCTACTACTAGCGGGCGGTTGATCTGGCTGCGCTGCAAGCCATGCCCTGGCACCCGATCTATTGGTTGCAGGGATCATGACGTGTCTACGCGTCGTTGAAGTAATGCCCCCAGTGAAAAGAAATAGTTGTCGTCTGAATTTGTTGCTCGAAATCCGAAACGCCACGACGTTTTATGTGATCCATTCGGGTCCAGTACAAGTCATTACGCCATTCAAAAACTTTGCTTTGTGACGCTACCACTTTTTCTCAATTTTATTGCGCTCTTATCTGTAATGAACCGTGCCGTTGCGTCAATCAAGAACCACTTTGTTCCCTAATTATAAAGAATAGGTCTCTCTCTCTCTCTCTCTCTCTCTCTCTCTCTCTCTCTCTCTCTCTCTCTCTCTCTCTCTCTCTCTGACTTGTCGTTAATTGTTGAAGCGTCGTCTCATGACCAGAACAGAACCTCATGTTGCAGTTAGTCGAATGAAATGAGTTCGAATACAGATGAAGGCGCCTCCATGCCGTCCGATAGCCGCCAGGGTGAAAACAATGGCTCAGTACGTTGTTAGCACATACAAAGTTTTTCCTTTATTTATCATTTACCATTCATTTATTTGTTTGTGGACGCGGTGTGTCTGCGCTTAACTATTAGATAGCCAAGCAAAACACCAGGGAAAATCACTCATGGTCAGTACTCAGCATTAATTGGAAGTGAATAGTTAACAAGGGAATAGAACTTTTCATTGAATAGAACCCCTGATTTGCCTTTGCTGGTAGAATGACTTTCTTGTTAGGCTGCATTCATAATTCGTGAATGTGAAGAGCGCTCAATTCTGGAGAATCGGCGACGAAGGATCACAACCTGTGTGTTCACGCATCGAGACATGATCGCGCAACCGCGCGAATCAAGCGAACTGTGGCCGTAAACTGGTCCTCTGGTTAGCCCTGGTCTTCTGCAATGGCTATCTAAATTAGTTTGTTATAGAAGATCTTTGACTGTTCACTTGTTATAAATATTGATATTGATAACGAACATTTTTTGGCGCTAATGTGCTTAGTGGGGCACTCGACCGCGCCTATGTGTCTCTTGCCCTAACCAAGGCTTCTGCTTGGGGTGCCGACAACAGTTGTCGCCGTGGGACAGTCTCGCATAAAAGATTTGGTCTCTACATATCTGAGCTTTGGTTTTACTCCCACTTCCCCCTGCTCAACCCCCCCCCCGTCCAACAAGGATTTTTCTTATTAATCATCGTTGCGAAGTGTCTCGCAGATGAAATTTCATGTCAATATTACAAGAAGGTATAGTGTAGTTCGCTGCGAACGGTTGGGTTGTCAGGCGGGATGAGTTTGGCGCGGTGCCAAACCCGTTCTCCACCAGTTGTTAAAGCGAGCAAATGATATGACTGTATCATATCGTTCGTATTACTCGTTTTCTACCACTTTTTGTCGCATGCGCGCTTCAACAAGAAGGCAGAGAACGGCTTTGACGGTGTGACACACTCATACTGCCTGACACGCCCAACCGTCCGCAGCGAACTAGAGCGCAGCTTCGTCAGAGGGTGAGGGTGCGATTTGCTAGTGGAAAATCGATCCTCATGGACATCTCTTGTCAGTTCTCCACGACTGTGGGTTCTCCAACTCGATACGCATACTTTCCATTTTCTCCAAGTGTCCTAAAAAGTTGCGTATTCTCCAAATTCCTTATTTTCCATATTCGCAATGTATAGACACGGTGTGCAGTATATCATCCTGCACACCTTGTTCATACATTGTGAATGAGGAGAATGAAGAATCTAGAGTACGCTATTAACCATAGTCTTTCTCATGATTTACCACAAAAGCTATGAAACATTTGCTTACCTAGGGTAACGGGCCGAGCTCGAAGAAAAGAAGGAACTTGAGCGATGGAGATGATGGTGAAGAGGAAGACTCATCTAAGGTGTGAGTTCTTTGACAATTTGTCGCAGAATTTCATTGCTTATTGTGATACGCGAAGTTTGACACTCAGTGGTCCCCGCATTGCCCTTTCATACGATTATTTCTTCTTTAAGTGCAGTCGAGGTTGGAAACAGTGTTGGGTGGCTGACGTTTTGGCGAGTTTACCTTCTTGCATGCTTAAAAGGGGTGCTATGAACTATCCGACCAAATGTCTCACCCATGTTCAGACACTTTTGACCCCATCCTACCCTCACGTAAACGTATCGCGTATGCACTATGATGTGCACCGGAAGAAGGGTAAGATCAGTGTAAACAGCACCAGCCTATAGCAAACACTGTTTTGCAACTCTTCGAGTGTTCAGTAAATTAAAACCAGTCGTTACATCAGAAGATGCATACTGGTATGCATTCATAAACATTTGTGATCTAAGCGGAAATTCAAATGGCAGAGTCGTCTAAGTATTTAACCTCTGTTTTCACAGCTCTTAATACGATACACCACTGCCGCATGTTCGTTTCATTTAGGACTACGGTCGCAGACCACCTTTCACACGATCGCACGTCATTCAACGGTGTGGTGGAAAATTTCATCTGCTCATTGGTATAACCGGAAGCGTGGCCGTAATAAAACTGGAGGAGCTTGTTAGAAAGTTATACGAAGCTTGCCCTGCAACAAGCTGGTGATCAGGTTAGCTGCTATTCCTGCTATATTCCTTTTCCTTTCCTATATTGGGTCTTTTACTTTTTCTACCTGGTCCGAGTGATTCGAGTTCGGGAGTAACAAAAATGGTTTGAACTGAGCTTTTTGTAATGTTTGATGAAGCAACTGGTTGTGGTAATTCGACTTTCTCTCGGAAACTTCTCGCGTCCCAGATTGCAGGCCACTAGTCCCGCTCTGACGCTTCTAGATCACAAGGACTTCGATATTGTGAGGTGATTTATGAAGACCGAGATGAATGGTCAATGTGGAGAGGCCGTGGCGATGGTGTTTTACATATTGGTGCGATCTTAACTTTTCTGTAATGCACGATATGGTTTCAACAGCCTCTTAGCTACGCGTAACATGATTGGGCTCACGTATTCACGAGCTGACTTATAAGTGCTGACTCAGGAAAGGTCAACAGGGTCGGTCTAGGTCCACATGACATATGAGATGGCACATCATTTGACTTTCATTTCTAGACCGATGAACTCAAAATCTATTTTCCAACAATTTTGCGGAAGATGTCTCTGAGTACTGGAGTTATATGGACTTTTCCTTTACTTGCTGTTTTCTCTCGGCGCGCTGGCGCTTAAAGCGTTGACCTGTGAACGCGCACTTACTACCTCCTTTTCGCGCAAAACAGGATACATATTATGTTCAGAGGGTTATCTCGCTAAGAGCGGCAGCCTAGCGGAAAGTTGACACTTGAAAAAAGTGGGGTAAGGTATAGTTCATGGCTGATCCAACGTTGACTGCGACTGATACTGATGATGGCTGGTCTGCGAAATGAAAACAGAATGCTTGTCAATGCTGGATTTTCGCGATACAGACAGTATCCTGTCCACCTTATTCAGTTGGCAGTCGCATGCATTTTTCCTGATTACAGAGAAAATGTTCCCTCTCAAGTACCAGATCACCCATGTGGTGGTAACCCATACCTGCTGCTAATTTACCCATTGATAAATAGCCGAAGAACGCACACTAAAGATAAATAAATGATAGATATAGTAAAGTAGGAATAAATAAAGAAGTCAGGTCGAAACCTCAGGGCTAGAAACTTGTCCCCAGGGGCAAATTGACCCGCTGAACATGGATATCATGGTATTTCGTTGCAAAAACCCTTGTAACATGTGTTACGAGGGGGACAAGCACAAGCACTCTTTCAGCCATAATGGGTCTACACTTTCAAAAAAAACTGATCGCAGGTCCCCTTACAGGATGGTGCAGGCGAGCAGAGATGTTAGAAGCCTCGTCTGCCATATTCTTGGACAAATGCAAAAATGTGCTACCCGCCGGGACTTGATCCCACGACGTCTCGCCTAGGAAACCCACTCGCTATCCGTTGCGCTCTACTACCACGTTTCAGAAGGACTCCATACATTTATGTAAAGACGCTTCCACGTTTGCTCGCGATAGCATGTAAAACAACTATGCGGGGATAAACCCCTCCATAACTCCGCTCAGAGACTCGTTCCGCAAATTCTGAAGACAGATTTGAGTTCACCGTCTCAAGACGCGCACAACGGTGTGCACCTCATTGGAAATGGCCAGGCTGACCTGATGACCTTTCCTGGTGAGTAGCCGACATGCTCGAGCCGCTTTCGAATTGCTATCTATTTCTCGTGAATTTTTTGGCACTGTTTGGCTCAGCGAGAGGAGGCATTACGGCTTTAGTTAGCTGATTTCTTCAGTTTCCTCACCAAGATACTAAACCTGTATTCTTAGGAGATCGTTAGGAGTGGCTTTTTAGAATGCGTTCATACTCTGAGTGACCATTTTCAGCGAGGTAGCCTCAAGCCAGCGTTTTAAGCGTATTCTGGCGTTTTCATCGTAATGCAGCGTTTCGAGCTACTGGTCGCTGAAAGAGCCGCTGTACGCTCAGAATGCTGACGTCAAGTATGAACGCTTTCCTAGCTTTACATGAGTTAATGGGTCCTCATAGTATGGCCTGTAGAAGCTCCGCTGAGTACGATTTCTTGGCCTCCAAAAGTTTACAGTCTCCGCGTCGATGGGCGGTTTGCACTAGCAGAATGGTCTGTTAATGTATGGGGTGCTACAATTATAAATTTAATGATCTCATAATGATGACATCGTCACTGATGTCCTTAGACTTTACACAGTCTGGATTATGAGGAACCCTTACATGTCTAAAGAGCTGGAAAAATTTTTTTTCTGATTTGAGCTTTTTAGTAAGGTCTCACAGTTAATAACTTAGGAAGTGGCGGATGCTGCTTATCGCCTCCCGCTTAACGCCCAAACAGTCTCGCTAAAATAGCTGTTGGAATTAGTGACAATTTGGTGACGTCCATTGTAGGTTTCCACAACGAATTATTGGACTGCTTTCTACTGAATGTTTGTAATGTTTGTATTTTTCGACAGGTCCGAGCTTGGGATCCCAGGAAGCCGCTTTATTTTGCGCCAGCGATGAACACTATGATGTGGGAAAACCCCCCTGAAAAGATCTCTTGAGATACAAGGTCGGTTTATAAAAATGGGGCTGCAAATGATGACTTCTTACAGCAAAGATTTCCCTCTTTCGTTTTTTGCTGCCCCGCTGAATTCTTTTTTCCTATTGACGATTACTTCTAGTCTGCATTATTATTTGTGTGCTCACTTAGGCTTAAGTGAGAGGAGGGGGTGGATTCGGTGGAATTCTGTTTATTCCTGCCATCTTGCGGTTCAGAAAGGTAGACTCTTGCAAGGCTACGAAATCGTACGGGTTTCACTTTCATGCCATTTCATAGTTGTTTGTGGAATGTAGGACGGCACTTGGTGCAGGAACGTCTGAAGAAACTGTTGTGAACCAGAGAATGAAGATTTTCCATGAGAGAAGAATTCCCAGTTGAGACAGCCATTTCGCTTTTCTTTTTTTGTGTAGTTGTCGGGGCGGCGCGGCTTGTGTCAGGGGGGGTGATGAACACTGTCCGATGGAAACTTTATTGGACCTGCCGTAGGCAGAGAATGGAGGTTAGACAGAATAAGATCCTCCGCCTCGGGTCGCCTTACATACTAGTGAGCACGTGAGTTCCCTTTGCGGGGATCCTGAGAAGGATACAGTACTAAGTGAGCTTGAGGAATTTCGCAATAATGAATCAACAACGAAGGAATAACAACAGTAAGTGAAAACAGAGTAAGTTTGCGATTAAGTATAACAACAACAATAAATGTATGTACTGTATCTACGTAGTTCCTTCAAACCGTCTCCCCATGATACTAGTTTGCCTTGCTTATTTCCAGACTACATGGCCTCTCAATGACGGAACTTTGACAAGTTTTAAGAAGTCACTTAGCCGACTGATGCTAGTTACGGCCTTTTTTGTATTCTTCAGGAAATCCCTCCAATGGAAAAGGAACTCATGTGTGGCGATACGGGAGTTGGAGCAATGGCAACCACACAAATGATTGCGACCGTAGTTGCTACCATCGTTAGAAATCGGTTTGCAGTATATACACCATGTGATTCTGATCCTGTGGAATAGCTTTTTCTAACAGAGTTACTATACTATTGTATGTTGTTTTATAAATTTAGTGCACAGTACCGGTTGTAGACTTTGTTATACCTCGTCTGATCTTCCAATAAATTTTAATCGAAATTGACCAGTGCTTTG